GGTGATGACCTCTCCCAGGTGAGAATCTCCCAGAGGTCCTTTGGTTTCTGGGTTAGCGATGATGATACGAACTCCAGGAAGAATCTGGAAGAACAAACAGACATCAGTGACATCATCACCATCGTGGTCACATGACTTCAGACCTGGTGTACCCCCCCCCCTCACCTTTCCAGACTCCATCAGGGGCAGACTGTGAGGAGACCCTCTCTCCACCAACCGGACCCTGAAACACACACACAGCTGTCAGACTGTGAGGAGTTCCTGCTCTGACCAGCAGGGGGCCTCGTTCCTACCTGTCGTGACGCAGCGCCCTCATGTCCACGTACACGGTGGTGGGGTCAGGCCCTGACGTTCCCTGCAGCCAATCAGAGCGCAGACAGAGTCAGAGCCAGTGGAGGGGTCAGAGGGTCGTGTGTGTGTGTGTGTGTGTGTGTGTGTGTGTGTGTGTGTGTGTGTTGACCTGCAGACAGATGGCCAGGTTGACCCTGCAGCCGAACGCCGTGCTGACGGATCGTGGGTGAAGACCCAGGTCCTTGAACAGTTTGGAGAAGGAGTGTGTGAGGGACATCCTGGGCCGCTCCTCGGCCACGACCACGCAGGCCCGGACCCGGGACAGGTCCAGACCCCGGGCCTGGACACAGCACCACGTCAGTTTGACCACTTCTTATTTTTATAGAAAATACACAAATACTGCGACAAACGTTCCTCTGAGAACAAAGTCTGTGTTTGACCTCTGACCTCTGACCTCCTGTGATAAAGTTTCAAAGTGAACAGAGTGACCCCTGACCTTGAGCGCCTCCGTCTGCAGCCCCAGTCCTTTGGTGCAGAGCTCCATGACGCTGTAGGAGCAGAACGTGTCTCGGACCCTCAGCTGACTGACGGCCAGCAGCCACAGGGCCGGGTTGGACTCCAGCTCCACGGGCGGGATCAGGATGGACTGGTGCCCCGAGTAGACGCTGCAGAGGGACAGGGACAGGGACGGGCCGGGGGTCAGGGGGTCAGGACTAGGGCGGGAGCACAGAGGCGGGCGGGGGTTAAAGGTGGCACTGACCTGCAGAGACACCAGAGGACGAAGCCCAGGCCGCAGTACGGGTCCAGACAGATGGCCACCTCTCTGGACGGGTACAGCTCACACTGCAGCTTCACCGAGCGGCAGAAGGCTCCCACGGCATTATGGGACATCTGGAAGGTGGGGGTGACGCAGTGATGAGAAAAAGACAGGACACAAACTTCAGACGGACATGAATGACGTCAGGTGAGGAGGGCGGAGCCTAACTGCTGACCTGGACTCCAGCCAACATCCCTGTGGTCGACACGCTGAAGTCCAGGTAGGCCAGGCCGTCGGGGTTGGTGGGCTTGTAGAGAGACGGGGGCTTCTTCTTTGGCAGGTCATCTGCACCACACACACACACACACACACACACACACCGATCCATCAGCGCTGACCTCCACCGTGAATGTTCCAAACCAAAGTCCAGAGAGAAAATGTGTTTTTATGGAGTTCAGATGTAGCTCAATGACACAAACTGACCACAGGAGGGCGCAGTGAGTCTGTAATCCTAAATCACTCATTTCCTCAGTGGACTTTGAACAGTTTATGACTTTGTTTGAATGTGAAGTTGGACCAGTACCAGTGTCCAGGACCGGGGGCCAGTTCCTGATGTCCACTGTGGCCGTGGCCTCTTTGGAGCGCAGCAGTTTACAAATGACGGCTGTGGTCATCACACAGGCCGAGTGACTCACCTGAGATCAGGGGGGGAGGGGGGGGAGAGGGGGGAGGAGTCATTAGGTTTGCCTTGTTTCCTGACTCCTGATTGGCTACAAAGCCATGATTGAAAATGTAAATGTTTGAGACTGAAGCAGCGGCGTGGTGTGGTGACCTCTGACCTCTACGATCATCTTAACGGTGGGCAGCGTGGTGGAAATGTTCTGAGGGTGCGGCGGTCGCACTGTGATGGGAACACAGCCGGCGTACAGGCAGCCGTAGAAGGCAGCGATCAGGTCGATACGGAGGGATAAACCACACACACACACACACACACACGTAAGGGGGGGCGCTCCTGATGACCTCAGTGACCTCAGTGTTGACCTCTGACCTGGAGGGTAGACCAGAGCCACGTGGTCTCCGTCCTGCAGACCTCCTCTCTCCATCAGCAGAGCCGCTACTCGCTCTGCCCTCTTGTGCAACTGCAGGCAGGTGAGGGAGCTGGACACTGCCCCCTGGTGGACAGGGAGAGAAGGAAGGTAACGTGTAACGTCCGTGGGCCGATCATTCAGCCTGAGGTCAGTGTTAGGGTTGGCTGTGGTGACTTTACCCTGGAGCTGAGCAGCGTGTACAGGATGTGGTCTGGAGTGGTCTGAGCTCTCCACTGTAGAACCTCTGACAGGAACAGGAACTGGAGCAACACAGAGCAGTTCAAGTTAGTGAAACATAATTCAATATGAAGAGCTCAGTTAATGAATCTGATTGGTTCGACTGGTCTGTCGTCATGTGGTGAAGCCCAGACGTTACGTTATCGGGTTTTCAACATCGGAGGAAAAAAAACCCGCTAACGATTCCGGTTTTCAACATTGGAGGAAACAAAAAACCACTAACGATTCAGATACAGATATTAAATATTTATGCTAACATCTGAAGCTGTAGCGGGCAGCTAGGTTAGCGTAGCTTAGACACAGATCAATACTACTACAAAGTAGCTTCACATGGACAACGTAGCTGTGCGCGCGTGTGTGCACGTGTGTGTGTGCGTGAACTCCTCACCTGGTCGTTGTCGTCAGTTTGTCCTAGGTCTCGTCCGCTGGCCTGAGCGATCCTCTTCCCTGACACCAGGTTCCCCACCATCACAGAGGCAGGTCCGATCTCTGACACACACACACACACACACACAGTGGGAGGGGCTTATTTTACTGGTGTGTTTCCACCTCAGCGTCGGCCGTGTCACAGAGCAGCAGTGCACTGTGGGTAGTCTGACCTGGCTGTTTCTGCCGGGGTTTGGGCAGGTTGGTGACACAGGTGTGAGGACACATCAGGACGTTACAGGGGTGCAGCCCCCCCTCCAGGTACAGCTGTTTGATCTCTGACAGGTGGATGCCCCCCAGGGGCGTCTTGGGGAGGGTGTTGGCAGGAACCAGGGCCAGACAGAAGACGCCCACGCCGTGGATGCTGTCGATGGCCTGACAGGAAGTAGAAGCTGTGGGTCAACTACAGAAACCAGAGCTCAGTGAGAGGACGGGGCCGTGACCCACCTGCAGTACCCGGCTCATCCACTGGAAGCTGTCCTCCTCCGTGGAGTCGGGTCTCTGCTCCGCCACCACCACGATCCTCTCATCCCGCAGCACCGTCACAGAGAATACGGCTATCCTGCAGGGGGCGCAGTTGAGACATCAGGGGTGGAAGAGGACGGGGGGGGGGGGGGGGGGGGGGGGTTCACAGCTGGTACCAACACCCCCGGACTCTCACCTGCCTCTGTAGACGAACTTCATGGGCTCCACTGCCAGGGCCGTGGCCACGATGTCGTCGGCGTTGTGTCTCCGCCCACTCACCATGATGAGGCCGTCCATCTTACCTGTGATGAAGACCAGGCCGCCAGGGCCGATGAAGCTGAGCAGACCGGTCCTCACGAAGGCGTACTCACTGATCAGACCGCCGCCGGAGCTGACCGGGTACACCTGACACACACACACACACACACACACACACACACACACACACACACACCTTCTATTAGCCGTACATCACAGTCAGGAGGTGCAGTGCCAGCAGGGGGAGCCACACGTGCAGCGCCTCCTCACCTCAAAGGTGTTCTTGGTCATGCCCGTGAGGCCGTAGTAGGAGGTGCCGGTGGCCACGGAGCAGACGCAGAGTTCCCCGATCTCGTCCGTCTGACAGAGCAGAGGAACGCCGTCAGGCTTCACCACACACACCAGGCCTGGACACACGGAGGAACGCACAGAAAAAAACAAAAAGCTGACGTCAGAAATGAAGTAAAAAGAGAACGATTTACAGACCCCTGGACTCGGAGGCCCCTCCACCCCGGTCCAGTCTACAGCTGCTCGATGTTCTGACCCACTTTGAACACCAGAACCAGAGACTCCAGCTGCAGTGGCTCCGGTTTCTAAACATTTAAAGATGCTCTTCCTGTGTTAGCAGCTAGCTCTGCTCAGGCTAATACTGCTTTTCCTTTAGCTCCTGACCCTTGACCTTACTGCTTCTTTGGGGGGGGGGGGTTCACCTCCTGGTGTGAGCGGGGCAACGT